CTGTATCGGACTTGTTGGAACAACCTTGCAACAAGTCTGATAATATCAACAAGCTTGTTACAAGTTGTTCACAGCTTGTTCCAAACTTGTTGACAACTTGGGACAAGCAGTGCGAACACAACTTGTTGACAGCTTGTTGGCAGACTTGCTACAAGATGTGAGATTTTTCCGTGAGATGTAGATATCTCTAATTCATTGTATTTTATCACAGTCGAATGTTCACATTGAAAGAAAACAAGAGGACAAAGAAATGGCAATCGAAAGAAGTTTGTATGGGTGATAGTTCGTATTGTAATGGACCCGGGATCTCGGGCGATTACGCGACGATGATATTATCTTTTGGAGAGGATGAATCTGGTATAACTTAGTGACTTTTATTATCCTGTATCGTTCACTGGTTTCTTTTTATTCTCAAAACTTTGCGAGTTTGACAGAGTCAAACTTGAAGTATTCTGTGAATGAGGGAAATTATACAGCTTATTTCAAAAAAGGTTGTCCTTTGCAAACCTTAAACTGTAAACCTTAAACCTTAAACTCAAAGCGTGCAAAGCATAATGATAGCATCACTTAATCAGTTTAGTAATGGCGTCTCTAAATAACGTTTTATAGTGATCCTTTAAACAAAGTTTTACCTACCTACCATCATATATGGAGCCCATTACTTAGAGACATGGGTGGTAAATATCTCCTTACGAGAACAATTCATTCACAAATAGCTGCAATATTCAACTACTAAGTTTGAAACTTGTGCTCCCATTAAGTTTTGTGCGCTTAGAGTTCAAGGTTTAATGTTTAGAGTTTAAGGTTTGCAAAGGACACTTTTTTTAAATTGGCTGTATAATCAAACAACTGCATAACCGCTGTCCTAACCAACCAGATACTGTGTTATTTTTAGGTGAATTATACTTCGCGTCAACAGCATTTACAGACAACGAGGCAAGAAAGGGAGCTGTCTATCAACTTTTTGACCCAGAAAGGTTTGAATTAAAATGATATTTCTGTATTTAAAATAGGAAAAGCTGGGTTTTACTACCATTGGCTGACCTACATTATTTACTGTAACCTGTTACAATGTCTTGTTACGACCAGGGCAGGAAAAAAGAATTTTCTTCCTGGGAGCACACTTGCATGGAGATAAAAATTTCCTGCAGACCAACTGAATATTTTTGTGCTAAATCCGCATGTGCATAAACATATAGTGTTCTAGCTGACAATGGTTTTAAATTCAAGGAATAATGTCTGTCAACCATATGTTGTTGCGCCCATAGTGGGACATGGGTGTTAAGGTTTCCTTCAAATTTTCAATAGCAAATCTTCATTCAAACGAATTTCCTGCAGCTGTTTAACATTTCCTGCGAGCAGTGTTCCCGTGCTCGCCTATTTTGTCCACCCCTGGAGTTACGATCCTGTAACATCTAAGATCTTGTTGCATATTGTTGCGTGGTGTTATAAGGACAATTCGTTTTTGTCTTTTCTAGACGTACCGATCCATCTCAATGTACATTCACCGTCAAGGAACCGGTTAGACCTGTTTGTAGTAACCGGAAAGCAAGCGGCATTTGTGACATATATAGACGTCTCGGATTCTGCAAGAAGAGCTATGTTAAATATATGACAAGGAATTGCAAGCTCGCTTGTGGGCTGTGTTCATAAACTGCTGTGGCTCATGTATAAAAGATGAAAACGTACCCATATATATTGAGATTAAGTAAAATTTGTGCTTGGATGTTTTTGAATATGCTTTGGGCTTTAAAATTGAGAGTTTTCCTGTAAAAGACTTGGACGTAAAAGTCTACATGGTTAAACCACAATTTGATGTTTGAACTGTCTTATATCAGTAAAAAGGAAATAAATAATATTTTTTAGTATCGAACTGTCTCTAAGCCTCATTTTGTATTATTTCTTGGAATTTGTGGTCGTTGTTAATTTCAAGAAATAAATAATAGTCAACTCATTGTATACTTTACATATAGGTTAAAAGCCAAGGGAGAGGTTTTTATTAAACTGTGAAGACCGAGGGCCGAAGGCCCGAGGTCTTTACAGTTTAATAAAAACCGATACCCGCGGCTTTTAACTTGTTTATATACTCATCAGACCATATTCTTTTGAATTTTGGAGGTTTTCTTCATTAAAAATTCAAGCTATATCAATTCAATGAGAGGTCGCTGCAGTTGTGGGACGAAATAACTAGGTGTAACATGCGCATTAACACGCTTTAAAATGTGGTTAAGCATGCGCAGTATATCATTTCACGTCCCACAAGCAAAAAAGCAGATATTACTGTATAAATTCCCTGCACAAGCATGTTTGATGGTTGATCCAGCTAGTCCTCGTGCGCCGAATGATAGATACTCTTACCTAATGGTAGAGTTTTGACGGGCTCTGAGGTACACGGCTGTTGTCTGTTTCTCGACTTAGAGACGTGCAACGTTTACTAGTCGAAAAGGAGATGTGGGTCTTGAGTTTTCCTGCAAATTCAAGTCCCGAATTCAAGACTCATGCCAGGTCTTGAATTGAAAATGTAAAACCAGGTAACTGGTTATTATTTTTTCGTAATAACCCGGGTAGCAGGTTATTACGGAAAAATAATAACCTGGTAGCAGGTTATTACGGAAAAATAATAACCTGGTAGCTAGTCTGCTACCAGGTTATTATTTTTCCGTAATAACCTGCTACCCGGTTATTATTTTCCGTAATAACCTGCTACCCGGTTATTATTTTTCCGTAATAACCTTCAACCCCGTATTTCGCCCGGAGAAATCAAATACCACCGCCTGCTTTTAGACTGAAGGTTATTACGGGGGAGTTAAAAACCGACGAAATACAAAAGAATATGGTCTGATGAGTTTGTAATAACTGTTATATATATATAGTACACATGTAAAGACGCAAAAGTTGTAACAAACTTGCAGCAGACTTGTAGCAATGCTGTTCCAACAACTTGTCAGCAGGATGTGTTCGCACTGCTTGTTCCCAGCTTGTTGACAACTTGCTACAAGGTTGTTGAGGCAACAGACTTGCTACAAGTTGTTTCAACAACTTGTCATTGTCCTGCAATTCAACAATTTGTCAACAAGTTGTGAGTGACAACCTTGTAGCAATTTGATAAAATAACAACATTGTTACAACTTGTTGACAAGCTTGCTACAAACCTGTTGCGAACACATCTTGTTGACAAGTTGTGAGATTTTTACGTGCGTAGTCTGCGAACAAGTTATCAAGTTGTCTTCGCACTGCTTGTCCCAAGTTGTCAACAAGTTTGGAACAAGCTGTTAACAACTTGTAACAACAACTGGGAACAAGCAGTGCGAACACAACTTGTCGACAGCTTGTAACAAGTTTGATGGCATCAGACTTGTTACAAGGTTGTTCTAACAAGTCTGATACAGTCATGATATAACAAGAATGTTACAAGGTTGACTACACAAGGTTGTAACAATATTGTTATATCATGACTGTGTCGGACTTGTTGGAACAACCTTGTAACAAGACTGATAATATCAACAAGGTTGTTACAAGTTGTCAACAGCTTCTTCCATGACAACCAGTGCGAACACAACTTGTTGACAGATTTGCTACAAGATGTGAGATTTTTGCGTGTGTATACAAAAAAAACGCACAAGTTGTTACAGGTCTGCAAACAAGTTGTTACAAATCTGTTCACAAGCTGTCGACAAGTTGTGTTCGCACTGCTTGTTCCCAGTTGTTGTAACAAGATTGGAAGAAGCTGTTAACAACTTGTAACAAGCTTCATGGCATTATCAGACTTGTTACAAGGTTGTTCTAACAAGTCTGGTAAAGTCATGATATAACAAGGATGTTACAAGGTTGACGACACAAGGTTGGAACAATATTGCTATATCATGACTGTATCGGACTTGTTGGAACAACTTCGCAACAAGTCTGATAATACCAACAAGGTTGTCACAAGTTGTTAACAGCTTGTTCCATACTTGTTGACAACTTGGGACAAGCAGTGCGAACACAACTTGTTGACGGCTTGTTGGCAGACTTGCAACAAGATGTGAGATTTTTACGTGTGTACATTGCAAATCTGTTCACAAGCTGTCAACAAGTTGTGTTCGCATTGTTTGTTCCCAGTTTGTTGTAACAAGTTTGGAACAAGCTGTTAACAACTTGTAACAGCCATGATGGCATTATCAGACTTGTTACAAGGTTGTTCTAACAAGTCTGATACAGTCATGATATGACAAGAATGTTACAAGGTTGTTCTAACAAGTCTGATACAGTCATGATATAACAAGAATGTTACAAGGTTGACGACACAAGGTTGTAACAATATTGTTTTATCATGACTGTATCGGACTTGTAGGAACAACCTTGCAACAAGTCTGATAATATCAGCAAAGTTGTTACAAGTTGTTAACAGCTTGTTCCAAACTTGATGTTTGTGGTGTTACTCTGAGTGTATATCCACACCGGGCGAGCTTGAAAAATATGCCCGGCCACGGTGGGAATCGAACCTACGACCTTTGTTGACAACTTGGGACAAGCAGTGGCGGCTTGTTGATGGATTTGCTACAAGATGTGAGATTTTTGCGTGTCAATCTTGATGACATTATCAGACTTGTTACAAGGTTGTTCTGACAAGTCTGATGCAGTCATGACATAACAAGAATGTTACAAGGTTGACTACACAAGGTTGTAACATACTTGTTGTAACATACTTGTCTTGATGACATTATCAGACTTGTTACAAGGTTGTTCTGACAAGTCTGATGCAGTCATGACATAACAAGAATGTTACAAGGTTGGCTACACAAGGTTGTAACCTGTAACAAGGTTGCGTGTCAATCTTGATGACATTATCAGACTTGTTACAAGGTTGTTCTGACAAGTCTGATGCAGTCATGACATAACAAGAATGTTACAAGGTTGACTACACAAGGTTGTAACATACTTGTTGTAACATACTTGTCTTGATGACATTATCAGACTTGTTACAAGGTTGTTCTGACAAGTCTGATGCAGTCATGACATAACAAGAATGTTACAAGGTTGGCTACACAAGGTTGTAACCTGTAACAAGGTTGCGTGTCAATCTTGATGACATTATCAGACTTGTTACAAGGTTGTTCTGACAAGTCTGATGCAGTCATGACATAACAAGAATGTTACAAGGTTGACTACACAAGGTTGTAACATACTTGTTGTAACATACTTGTCTTGATGACATTATCAGACTTGTTACAAGGTTGTTCTGACAAGTCTGATGCAGTCATGACATAACAAGAATGTTACAAGGTTGGCTACACAAGGTTGTAACCTGTAACAAGGTTGCGTGTCAATCTTGATGACATTATCAGACTTGTTACAAGGTTGTTCTGACAAGTCTGATGCAGTCATGACATAACAAGAATGTTACAAGGTTGACTACACAAGGTTGTAACATACTTGTTAACAACTTGGGACAAGCAGTGCGAACACAACTCGGTGACAGCTTGTTGATAGATTTGCTACAAGATGTGAGATTTTTCCGTGTGTACCATTGGTGTGCAACACATTAAACGCACAAGTTGTTACAAATCTGTTCACAAGCTGTCAACAAGTTGTGTTCGTACTGCTTGTTCCCAGTTGTTGTAACAAGTTTGGAACAAGCTGTTAACAACTTGTAACAAGCTTGATGGCATTATCAGTCTCAGACTTGTCACAAGGTTGTTCTAACAAGTAAGGTCTGACGAGGGAGTCTGATACAGTCATGATATAACAAGAATGTTACAAGGTTGTAACAATATAGTTATATCATGACTGTATCAGACGTGTTGGAACAACAACCTTGTAACAAGTTTTGATAATTTTTGTGTGTGTTGGATTGAAGACAATTTATAAAGTTATAAATATAATAAATGTAATGTAATATAAAACATTATATTTTGTAATGTAATGATTAATGAATAATGATTCCTGGAAATTACACAATTTTGCACGTCATTAAAATTACACAATACGTCACTGGGAAACTGTCTATTCCAACATGGCGGACACAGATTATGCATTGGCGTTGTCACTTCAAGACGAATTTTCTGCCATTGACAATGAAGAAACGAGAAATTCTGGCGATAAAAGAAAGCGTCCAACATCTATAGTGGACGACTGTTGGGAAACTATTGACCCAACGCCTGATATAAGAGAATTATTTTTACAATTTAATGACAAGTATTTTGATAGCAAGCTGTCGTGTTGTGAGGTGAAATGGGCACCAAGAATGACACTGTATGTTGATTGTTGAAATTTTAGTTAATTTTAGATCAGTGTATACATTTTTACGTAATTTTATGTTGATGCAGTATTCTTAGTATATTTATGTATTAATTTTAATTAAAAACACTACAATGTATTATCATACCAGGATAAAGCTCAGCTGCTCAGCTAATAAGATTAGAAGACAAACTTGAGTCATATAAAGAACTTTATTTCATTGCAAATTTATTTCATAGTAAATTTGTAGTGAAATGAAGTTCTTATGAAATTAACTAAAAGAATACTGTAGTGTTATTAGAGAATCTTGAATCAAGTTTGTTGTCAAGTGAATGTTGTCAAGTTAATGATTCTAAACGGTGCAAGCAGAAAATTCTGTCTGCCTACCTTGCTAGCTTAATTGACGCTCTACCAAATGAGCTACACAATCTGGTTTGATTGAGGACTGGAAATTATGAATGAAATTGCTTAATTAGTCTTTCTGATGATGATGAATATCTGCCATTTTTGGGTGGCACCAATGCAGACAATTACAACAATGTGAAAAGCAATTTTTCAAAAGAAACTAACCATTTACAAAGCAAATTTACCATCATTTTGTCCAAAAATTATAAAAAGTCGCTGTTATGTGGACTTATCTTGCAGACTTCAGCTGAAAAGCCACCCAAAAATGGCGGCATGAGAAAGGCTGATTGGACCATGTAACTCAGTTGGTAGTGTGTCAAGGTAGCATTTTGAAGATTAGAAAAAGTGGAAAATTTAGTACGTAGTCTTTCAAAGTTTTGTTCTCGTAAAAAAGGCACCTTGCAGCCTGATTCCCCCATGGCTCTGGTGCCCCTGCACATTGGATCTGCACAGGTTAACACAAGGTTTGAACCACTTTTAGATGTGCAGGTGTATGTTGTTATGAGGGACGTGGTGGATTGTGTTCAATCAAACTGAGCATGCCCTTGTTGAAGCTTCGACCCAGAAAAGATCTTGTTCAAACTTTACTTGTAAGTTATTACATCAATTGACACACGGCATTGAGCTCTGCAGCCCTTGACACTCAGGTTGGCATTCGGCAATGCCTTAATGGGAGTTTCAAGAGCTGGCTCTAGAGAGGGAGAGATGCCTTGACCCATTTCAGTGGTAGCATATTCCACTTACTGTATCAAATAATAAAGTAGGTCGCATCATAGCCTGTGTACAGACTTGTATTTATATGCTGTAATACAGTCTGTGAAAATTTGTGGCATTGCATGCCGACTCCCTTGTATTCTGATTGGTCATAGTTAAACTCAGTAGATTATGATTGGCTGAGTTCAAAGGTCAACAAAGTTCTGATTTTTCTACCTAACATAAACAAATCACAACACACTCAGGAATTGCTGTTATTTTCGACTTGTTGCATTTCATTTGTTCAATTAGTTAATCTGCAATACATTAGAAATATTTTTGTGTCAAAAATTTAGTAGTTTTGAAGCATAGAGAGAAGTAAAATTTACAATGAACATCAAGTGGCGAGAAATTATTATTTCGATATTTATATCATGCTAAATTTTTAACAGAATGTTAGGCATAGCGTTATACAGTAGTGTAAAAACATGGCCTAAGTTCAGTCGTGACCAATCAGAATCAACTACCCATGCAGGTCTGGGTAGCGCTGATGGTGGTTGACGAGCAATGCCACAAATTTTCATAGACGTATTATAGCATAATAATTCTTTACACAGGCTAGCTGCCAGACTCAGGCTAGTCAACCCATTGAATGGCACCACTCGATCTGCTCGCCTTCACAAGTAAAATCATCTGCCATTAGACAGAGTAAAATAATAAAATAGGGCACATCCAGACTCCATGCAACTTAATGTGTTAAAGCATTTACATACGAAGTAACTTGATTTTCTTATTTCTTCTAGCACGAAATGATCCATGCCTTTCTCTTCGTCACCCATAACAACAAGGTTTGTAAAAACAAATATTTAACAATGTGTTACTGGAGAGATATGGTTTTTGCCATAGTTTAGGAGTGGGTTGGGGAATTTTCGAAAAATATCTTGTGGTCCCCCCTTTGGTCTCCCCTTTGGGTTTGACCCGATTTTTTCAAAACTGGTTCCTATTGGAGTTGGTTGAAGGAGTTTTTTAATTTTTCAAAAATTTATTATGGCCTAACCCCATCCCCCTTTGTTGACCCTTGGATTCCCTGGGGGTCTTCTCTTTGCATTTGACCAAAATTTTTAAAAACTGGTTTTTATCAGACGAAAGTGATAGACAGATCAGTCAATGTTTTTGTTAGTTGAAAGTGATTGTTTAGTCAGAAAGTTTGGAGAAGGTTGAGTCATTTTTAAAATTTATTTCAAATTTGCTGTGGTCCCCCCTTTTTTTATCCAGCTATGGTTGCCTGTGGTTCATAATATTAGATTTGTTTGACATGGTGATTTTGATATTGCAGGATCATGATTCTCATGGACCAGAGTTTCACAAGCACATGTCGAGAATAAACAGATCGAGTGGTTCCAATATTACGGTAACTTTTAGTATTGTTGTTTTGTAAAACTCATTAATATGCTACTTTGGGATTTATAGTTAGTGTAAGATAATAAAAGGTGTATTAGTTGTAAGATAAAAACACTTGTCAGTCCTTCATTTGGAAAGCTGTATTTACAAAGCATTTCAATTTATTTTAGGTTTATCATAATTTTCACGACGAGGTGAGTATATAATCTTAGGTATGCTTCTATAAGTTATACTTACAAAATCTGACATCTCATATCTCATAGCAAGTCTGCCAACAAATCATCACAAGTTGTATCCGCACTGTTTGTCCCAAGTTGTCAACAAGTTTGGAACAACTTGTTCACAGTTGTAAGAACCTTGTCGATATTGTCAGACTTGTTACAACGTTGTTCCAACAAGTCTGATACAGTCATGATATAACAATATTTTTACAACCTTGTGTCGTCAACCTTGTAAGTCTTGTAACATTCTTGGTATTATGACTGTATCAGACTTGTTAGAACAGCCTTGTAACAAGTCTTATAATGCCATGAAGCTTGTTACAAGTTGTTAACAGTTTGTTCCAAACTTGTTGCAACAACTTGGAACAAGCAGTGCGAACACAACTTGTCGACAGCTTGTGAACAGATTTGTAACAACTTATAATAATTAATATTTTTTGTTTGTGGAAACACCACGTAAATTGGTGTTTCCACAAACAAAAAGTATTATGTGTTTTATCGCCATGTAATCCTACAAAGAACTTATTCTAACAAGTTGTTTACAGACCTTGTGTGTTTTTACATTGTTTGTGCTTAATCGACATTTACAGGTAGACTTGTATCGTCAACACTGGTGGCGTTGTAACGGGCCTTGCCAGAAGCGACCGCCATATTATGGTATGGTAAAACGGGCCATGAACCGAGCACCAGCACCCAGAGACCCATGGTGGCCGGACCATCAGAGAACCTGTGGTGGTACCTACCACAAAATCCGTGAACCCGAGGATTATGGCAAGAAAAAAAGAAAGAAGGATGATGGTATCAATGCGGAAAATGAAGCGACCAAAGATACACCTAAGATTTATGATTTATGGAACAAGGAAAGCGGTGGTAAAAGCCACAAGACAAATAGTAGTGACTCTTCCACTAATGCCAAACCAAATTATAGTAAAACTAGTAGTGGAAATGACATAAATACTGGTGATTTGTCGACGAATGCAGGGGGGACAAAAATTGACAACTTCTGGAGAGTTGAGAATGATGATAGTTCTGGCAAAGAGAACGATGTTCAGAAAATAAATCACGCTTTTACACCTTTCACTGGGAAAGGTCATGTTCTAGGATCTGTTCAGAGTGAGACTTCGACAATCTCTGTGAAAAAGCAAGGAAATACCAGGACGGTTTCAAAGGGCAGGGATTTTAGCCCACCCGTGCAGGGAAATGGTCAAGATTTCCAAGGCATAAAATTGTTTCTCCAAAATACTGGAAGATTATCTTCTCGATCAGGGCATCTTAATCGGATTGTTACTTCCACTCAATCGAAAAGTAGTAAGGCTATTGATATTACTGAAAACGATTTTGTTGACGATGCCGATATTGACATAGTTCAAAACACATCAAGAAATCCTTTTATAAAAGGCAAGGAAAGTCGTTTAGGAACAAATCTTACCACAGAATCGAATTCGTCCACTTTGAATGAGATTGAAGACGTAAGCACGGATACACAACAGAAGGTGAATTCGGGAACTCAGTTGACAATTGTGGATGCGTTTAAAAATGTTGGGGACAAAAAAGTTCCAGTGGTTGTCATAAATGAGACACCAACAAAATCTGCTGTCCTCGCGTCAGTCCAATGTCCTGTTTGCCTGCTTAAGGTTGAGGAAACTCGGATAAATGCGCATTTGGACGCTTGTTTATCATAAGAATTTGCAATAAGTGTTAGCAAAGCGAACTACAGACTACACAGTTGAAAAAGTGACATCAAATTAAGAAACTATGTATAAATATAACGTAAATAGTATTGATTTATATAAAACACAAAAATTTTATAAAGTTCTGTTGATAGTTAGTAATATTGAAATTCTGTTGTGAATTTATTAAAAAATTCGTATGACTCGAAAATTGACGGTGTTGTTTTTTAGTCTAATTTAAAAACTGTAGCGTAACTTCTTTGATACATTTTTGTTTTCTTGCTTCGTTTTGAAGATATTTCATTTGGTATGATATGCAAAGGACCAACTTCCTACGTCATATATGCATAATGATTAAGCCCTAGAAGCTGTATATCTTTAATACGACTAAACACAATCTGTAGAAAACCTACATGCGTGTTATTGTGGACAAATCTCGTGCTCATCATTCATTTTGAGCGAATTTATTTGATAATGAAAAAATTATATAACATTTTTAAGTAAGTCCTGTGTGATCTTTCAAATTAGACTAAAAAATAACACCGTCAATTTTAGAGTCATATGCCCTTTAAATATATCGTAAAAACAAAATGATAGCAGAAAGGTTTATAATAAGGATAAGAATATTATTGTAAGGTTCAATTTGTTACTTTATTTATCTTTGTTGTTATTTTTATTTAGCTTATGTTTATCAAGCTGGAAAAGTGCAAATAAATCGAAAAAAATGGACGAAAAATTAACAGTTTAGTCTTATTTTTTTGCCATCTTTTCCATTTTTTGCCAATTTTTCAAAAATCAGAAAAGCGGCTAAAATTGAACGAAGAGTTAAGGAGTTAGCCTCAACTTTTGTTTGCGTTTTGGCCATTTTTAACCACTTTTTGACTTTTGGCTGACGATCGAAAAGTGGCTAAAATTCGACAAAAAGTTAAGGCTCACCACTGAAAGTTTTGGCCATTTTTCGCCACTATATAATTGATTTTTTTGAAAAACAACCAAAAATTGTTAAAAAGTGAAGGGGTTAGACTTTTCTTCAAAAAATATTGAGGGGCAAACCATTACTTTTTGGCCATTTTTAACCACGACAAAAAGTTAAGAGAAATAATAGTTAATATTTCTATGGTCTAATATTTCTATGGTCTAATATTTCTATGGGCTATTACTTTTTAAAATTTAAATTCTGCTATTTTGCATAAAATGCGATTGCTGAACAACCAATCAGAGTGCTTTAAAGGGGCAGTGTCACGGCGCTGATTGGCTAAAATAAACGGCGCAAAGAAACGTTTAATTAAAGTAAATGCTACATGATTGGAAAAGATGCAGCAGCCTTCAATTTTTAAAACAATGCAAGGATGTCCTGCATAACGAACGGATTATAAATAGTACATCGTATTTCACTCCTTAACTTGATTAATTGTTGGCAGACAGTTTTTCAAGATCGCGCATATTTTGGATGCGCAGTAGAACCGTGACACTGCCCCTTTAAAAGAGGGTTTTAGAGATTACGGCTTTTTCCATTCCAGGTTTTAAAGACCCTGGCTTGTCTCGTTCTGGGTTTTAAAGATTTCATCACTATGCTGAATCCACAATACAAGTACTAGTGCGTAAAATCTTGACATAAGTAAATTTTATGCATAAAGACACTGTTTAATTATGAAGCTGCTTTAAATTCCCAAGAGCAGAAAATCCTGCGCTTTAAAATAAGTCAATATTTATAATATATGCACCCTGTCAATAATATTTTACGCATCTTAATTTGCGTTCAGTTTAGTGCTCAGGCATTCAAATTCTAACCATATCCGTTATTTCAATAGTTTGGGGTTTTGGGGATACTCTGTATAGCGTAATCGGAGGTAAACCCGGAATAAAAAAGCTGGAATCTTTAAAATCCGAAATAAAAAAAGCCAATAGTTTGGTTTTTTGGGGACCCTGTATATTCAACAATTAAGCATTCCAAGTCCCAAGGGAGTTCAGACCAATGCATGCGTTTCGCACTAGCCAATGACAGCAAAGCTTTTGCAAGCTAAACCAATCAGAGCTCGTAAAAATATGACAATAGCAAACATAGGTGTGGTTTACGCTTTCGTGGCAAATTTGAGTATTTCTGCTCGAGGCTTCATTTTGACTCGAAGTTCAGAGAGTACACAGTTCGTTTATAGTGCAAGAAAACTTCGCTTTCATGAAGCTCTTTCGAAATAAAATCGGTATACCTTGCAGACGGAAAGGTCAGTATTAAATTTAGCTATTTTTTAAACGTTTTTGAGTTGTTCTTGTTATGTTATTGCTGTCTTTTAAAACACGTGTGTAATGTACATTTATTCATTGTATTAATAAGTATTGAATTCGATTCTCATTCAAGCGCTTCGTTTCGGCGCTTAATCGCTTTATTTCCTTGGTTCTTCTCCCTCATTTTCTAGCAGCAATGTTCAGAAATGCCCCAGCTTCGATTTATTTAACTCATACTTAGTTTATCTGTGATTTCAGGGCGAAAATTTGAAGAGAAAGTGAACTAATTTAAGTCGCCGACATGGTTGAAAAGGCAAAGCACTTGGTAAGCATAATGTCCACAAAAGGCGTTTCCCTCTTGTTTTTCTTTTCGTTTTTAAGCTTCCTTTATATACCTATAACGTCTTCTAGTAAAGCCTTGTTGCTTTATGAACACTCTCTGTCAAATTTAGTTAAGTTTTGTTGAAAATTTTGTCCGTACAGAGCGAAATGCCGACTCAATTTAGGCATGTTCAATTCGATATGCATTTCAAACATTTTAGCTTCTACAAACTTGTCGTTTATGTACAAATTGTACTCTAAGAGGCAAGGTTAAGTTTGAGTTTTTTGAGGTTGCCTAAATTGATTTAATCCAAATCTTTTAAAGAAATTCAGAGATGAAATGCCCTCGTGGTTCATGGCCTAATTTTATGCATACATACACGCATTCTTTAAAATTGAAATAAATTGAATTGGACAACCACACTCTGTGTAAAAGACATTAAATAGCTCTTCGCTTTTGTGTTGAAACTAAAAATTCATTATCCAACTTTTTTAGATTGCCTCGAGTTCATCATTCTGACGGCAAACAGTACAGAAAGACCTCAGCACAGATTTGAAGAGACGTTCGCCTAGCAGTAGAAGCAAAACGAGAAGACGGGAAGGCAAAGGACAAATGAAGACCACCATCAGCTTGCCCACAGCATTCATCGTCGAATTTCGTATGTACCAAGTTTGGAAGAGACAGTAACCAAGACATAGGCCATACTCGATCTGTGTCAGGGTTTAAGAGCGACTCGGCTGCCTTAAAAATACAAGTAAAACTTAATACCATAGTCTGACAGTGACGGAACGCTCGAGAGCAGATACACCCATCATCAGATTCTGCTCAGTCAGCCAAAAGGTGACGTGCAACCACTTTCATGGGATTCAAAGGACAAAAACATTTTCACCATGTTGGATAAATTGTCAATGTCATCCAACATGGCGACATAACTTGCACACCACCTATTGTGAATGGGTGCCAAGAGCTGTCAAGCCGCGACGCGACGCCGTACCATCCAAGGACCATAACCAACGCGCCACATTATCGTTTCCAAAGACTGAGGGATGCCTACCTATACCAGCCAATGAAATAGGCGTGAAAGATGCTGTACATTACAGAAGGTATATATTTTCTCGTGATACTCGTTGGTCGTGTTCGAAAGTACGCGGGGGACCACCCTGAGGACGCCCAAATGCACAAAACAAATTTTAAAAATGAATGTGGCTCCTTTCCCTTAATTTCGCAATTTATTCAAATTTTTCATATTTCTTTGTATTTGTGAAAAGCTCTTAACGAAATCAAAATGCTTGAAATTCGGAAGTTTCTATCTGGGAGTTTGTTTATATGAAAGATATTTGAAATGAAATTTTGAAGTTTACATCACTTTGGTATTTGGTTTAAACGCTAGATAAAATCATGCCAGAGGAGTGGTCGACCATTCGTCGAAGTTTGGTGATACTTTGGCTCGGACTTTCTCGACCTACAGTCGAGTTGCTCGGATCGATTGTCGTGATCAACTAGCACAGGTGCAAGATCTGGCCAACCTTACATCAGTGCTTTTTGTTCGTGGCATGAGATTGGGGCAGCTCGCCTGTAGGCCTGGAAAGATCAAGCGGAAGTACCACCAAACTTTGATTTGTGGCCGGCTTTTTGTCTGTATGGCTTTACCCAGCGTTTTCCCGTTATCATTTTGATGCAGACTTTGGGATTTTGGCTTGAATATCTTTAATATAAACATTCTTTGAGGTTTAATCTTTCAAGAATTTCATGGTTTTTGACTAGTTAATGTGTTGCTCGCAGATACAATAATTGTATTACAAAAATTTAACCAATAAAATTAAAAACTGACCAAAACGTCATTTGAGGTGTCGGATGGGAGGTCCAGTGGGAGTCGTAGCGGATATCAATGGATAAATACGGATTACTGTTTACTATTGGAGATCGATACTGTGAACATTAATGGATTATTATGAACATTGATGGATTACAACGAACACTTATGGATTATTATGAACATTTGTGGATAAATGTACCTCGTGATCGACGGTTACCTACCAATGTCCTTGATAACGAAAGCTACACGACGGCAACGAGATGACTGCCTCAAGGTTAGAGGGTTTGATTAGGATTAGCCTGCTATCAGGCTGTAGTTAGCCTGCTAACAGGCAGTATATCTGTAGGATTCATACCCAGGACTCTAATTTGCATGTGTTCGGTGAAGTCTCTGGGATAAACCGTTTCAATTCCTGGCGGTCTGTCGTTCGTAGTACATTTGCACACAAGGTTGACTTTTATTCAGATGTTTGCATGCTAATAAAAAATGAGGTACAATTTTGAACTCAGTCGATTAGAATTTCGACATCATCTGCAATCGAAAGTCCATCTTAATTAAGAGGTTAACATTTGAGCTTCCGGTCACGTGGTTCTTTGCATGCACTCGGTTCGGTTGTTGGTGGGTTTCAGTAAGTGTTACAATCCAGACGATGGAGTAATTTATTTGCTTCAAATACTTGCTGGGGCAATTATTTGCTTCAAATACAAGACTATACTACATAAAGTGAACATTATTTTTTCACTCTAGTAACTCGTAGTGAGACCCACTAGCTATTTGCGGTCTGTTCGTGCCAATGTTGTTCTCTTTGTGTAAATGTACTGCTTAGGTGTCTCCGTGTCTGTGCATGGATAAACGCAGCGCGCAGCTAGTATCCAGAATATAGGCAGACGAGTAAAACCTTGCCAGACTTAAAATTTTTGTTTATATCGATATGTTATGTTCATAAATGTATAGAAATATCATGAAATGTGTTCGGCTTTGGCTTGGGGTTAATCTAACCCAAAAACCTTAACCTTAATTCATTACATGATCTGTATATTTGTGTACTTAATATATGGGTGTAACCAAAATTTTGTTGAAAAGTTGGCATAGTTTTGCTTGGGTAGGATAACTAAACTGGATGCAAATGGTATCCATAGCTTAGAGGGTGCAAATGGTACCCGTAAGAAGATTGGTGGATATCGTTGTGGACAAGATTTTTTGAAAGATGTGGATTCTCTCCGGGTAATCCGGTTTCCACCTACAGAATGATCAGCTTAGGACTGCATGTAATGAAATAATTATTGTAATGATAAACAGTCTAGGCTTTACTGAATAAGGCCGTAGTGCATGTATATCGCTGGTTTCGAACGTTAGTTTTCTGCCCCGAGTTCTATGAAAACAGTTCGCTACCAGAGATTAGGTTCCCTCTCTGTCATGGCGGCTCGACGATGGAAGACAATTAACATAATGCATGCTAATCTTACCCCTGTTTGTGGAAGCTCATCAGGTGCAACCGGCACACTAAGTTAAGTTAAGCTAAGGGCATGACCGAGACTCCACATTCGGGGGTTTCCCTTGCAGGTTTTTGAAAGGTTATATGCGCGCGCGCACTAGTTAGGAAGGTTAGGCAGCTAGTAATAGGGCGCTTTGCGTGTATACTATAAGGCATGTATATTATAATTCATTATCATCATACTTTTGCGCTAGTAACATTCTGAGAAGTATTTAATACAACAGGAAATTGGAATCTGTTTTCCTGTTGAAAAATACTTACAGAACCAATTCAAAGTGGAAAAAAAAAGAAAATATTGCGAAAAAGAAAAAACGAAAAACGCGAAGCCACTTTGAATATAAGCAACAATAGTCCAAGAATACTCGTTGCAGAAAAAAACAGCAAAAAAGAAACAATTTTCCGCCCAAAATGTCTTGGATTAGGGGCTTAACGATAAGAAACGTAGCTCTCGCTCCAAAGTGGAGAATAGGCTCGTTTCTTTAGGTTGCTAATGCATTGCGCGCGCTTTATAAATCCTACTATAAATTTTCAGTTGAAAAGACCGCCAGGGAATATAGGGTGTTTTCATGTGTTGCTTTGTTGACGGACAAGTTTTCAAAATAATGATTTTCTTATTTCTTTGTATTTCGGCACTTTAACTTGTTCCCAAACATAGCCGCCGTGAAAACACTCTGCAGATCAAGTTTATATATGGTAGCAATAGCAATATAGAATGTTTGCCATGTTGCATTCCGTGTTGTCTTGCATTGTTCATATATAAGCTTGGTCGAACCATGGATCATAAAAACACCATGGTCCAACGCAGCTAATTAACATAAGCAGCGCGCGCGCGTGCGGCTGTAATGCGGAGTACAGTCAGTGAGTGTACTCCATGTGCAAATAGTGACGTGTGCTTTTAGAGTTGAAAAAAATAAGGTGCATGTTGATTAGAATAAAGTGCGCAAAGTTTCATGCATATAAAAATTAAACGCGCTTAGTTGCATGCTAAGTAAAATTAAGGGCATGAAAACCAGTGCATGCTTATTTAAATTGGTGCGCGTGTTGCAATTTCCTTGCGCGCGATAAAAGCAAAATGCGCCACAAATCTAAATATAGAAATGCACACATCACACCTCCAAAATGCATCCAAGTGTCCTAACAGCTTTTACAAACTATCGTAAAATATGTTGGGCCATTGGATTCATTTGCCACGCACCTTGTCCTGAACATATTTGAAATATTTTCAGATTTCAAGGTTAAGACAAATATACCCTTGTGTGGAACAATTTGTTCATAAAAAGAGATATATTTGTCTTGCGCAATTTGTAGACTGAATTTTCGGGTGGTCTACAATTTTTTTTTGAACATTTCGTGAATTTTTTTTCTTAAATTCGTTGATTTTGTTAAATTAAAATTTTATTAGTTACATGATGTACAAATAGATATGACATAAATAGAATATAGATTAGTAAGATTTTATATTTAACGAATGATGTAAATAAATAGAATATATACGCTTTTTATATCCTTATATTGTAAACACATTGTAAATTATGTGTCAATAAACCATTATCATTTTTTTTTTGCAAGATTTTTTACTTTTCTGGGTTTTGGTATTGCCCCCAGGGTTGTTCAGCAGTCCGGACTCGTAATCGCCAAGGTTTTTCACCAGATCTTGCCATCGACAGCTAGCTGTCCACGGCACCTCTGGTTTTCCTCGGGCGATTATGTATTTTTCATTTGGCAAAATATCTAAAAATTCCAAAACAAAAAACAGTGTCCATGTTTGGGACGAATTTAGTACTGTGTAGAAAAAATGGACTATATAACTGTTGAGTGCATGTCTCTTTATATTCTGTGACTGAAAATGCGTTGTAAGTAATTTACAATTGATATCATCCAGAAAACATCAGTACCACCCCCAATTAACCCTCCACCCTCTTCAGATGTCTTAGTACACTTAAGCCTGGTTCACCTATATATGTCTGCGATATGCCTGCGACGTCATTATTTACAGCTGTTGATACATACATTCTTTTGTGAATTATTTGGTGGAACTGCTAAAGACAATAGCCCGCCAACACATGTGAACCAGGCTTTACTATTATCAGAAACAACCTTTACTCCCCCCCTCTTCGGATAGCAGAAATTTCCTCCTTGGGGATAGGGTTGACTTTTTTGCAACAACTCAATTTTGCTGGATTGTCTAACTAATACCAAACAATTAAATTTCGGCCTGATCTATATATCTATCTTGAAAATTACGACGGCACAGTACTCGTTCGTTTCCGGGTTGAATTCCCAGAACACTGTAAAGTAGTTACCAAACAAGTAATGTTTGTGTACTTCTGTGGCATATTCTCGCAAAAGTTCCATCAGGAGAAACCACTTATTATTTACAAGTGAGGGTGGGCCAGTTGGATTGGGAGATGCAGCAGAGTCTTGAGTCATTGTGAATGAGAGGGGGCTGAAACAGGTAAGACCTATTAAGGGACCCTATCGGTCTCATTTTCCCAGCCATATGTTCCAGTCCAATTCCAACTTTCAAAAATAATGATAATGAAAATGACTGAATATCCCTGAACAGCTGTACGATCACCCATGTTTAAACTGAATTTCTTTCCAAAGCCATGGGGGGGGGGGGGGAGGAACATTCCCCTCCCCCCTAAATAGTGAACACCCTTTTATGTTCAGCCTGGAATGCACAGCAGCCCAATAAATATACATATTCGCTTAAAACTCTGTTAAGTAAAACCGTCTGGCATTAGACAGAGTAAAATAATAAAGTAGGGGGCATCAGGGCACAATGCGACTCAACGAGTTAAAGGAAAATGCGCATAAAGTTCACCTCGCTTTGCTTTCTAACACTTTAATTATTAGGTGCCATGTGTGACAAGACAATGATGTGAACTGATGCAAGTTAGCATGATAATGAGCTACCACAATATTATCAGGCAAACTTTGTGCGAATTTTAAATACTATCTAAAACACGCGTAGGAGTGTTTTATCATATTTATAATAATAATAATTAATAATTTATAAAGCGCTTTTTACATGTAATGATCAAAAGTGCTGTATTACAATATAACTAATGTTAAAAGCGTATTAAAATGTTGAAATGTTAACTTTAATATAAACTAAATACTAAAAGCTAGTTTAAAAAGACGAGTCTTACAACAAGTTTTAAAAACGCTTATTGACGAAATGTCACGAATTTCTTTCGGAAGTTCATTCCAAAGTTTCGGAGCTGCCACAGTGAAAGATTGGTCGCCAAATGACTGTAAAAATTTACCCTTAGGGAACTCTAGCATTATGCTATCATTAGAGCGTAAAAGGTAGTTTCCTTCCACTTTGACAACAAGTAGATCTACTATGTACTTTGGAGCCATTCCATTTAAAGCTTTAAAAGTAAGCAATAGCAGTTTAAAATGGATCCTGAACTTCACAGGTAATCAGTGTAGTTCACGTAATATAGGTGTAATATGTGATCTTATTTTCGTGTTGAAGTCACTAATCTTGCAGCGGCGTTTTGAACCCTCTGCAACTTAATCAGTTCAGTATTAGGTAAACCATACAGGAGACCATTGCAATAATCTAGTCGACTTGTAACAAAGGCATGTAGAACAGTCAACAGATTTTCCTGAGATAAAAACTTGCTGATGCGTTTGATGGTTGTGAAGCCAATAGAATGCGGCAAAATGCGGGCGCGCGCAACACAAGCATTTTCAACAGTGCAAATATACATCAATCAATCAATCATACAATCAATCATACAATCAATCATACAATCAATCATACAATCAATCATACAATCAATCATACAATCAATCATACATTTATTTCCCATGTGTATGTACAATAATAAGTAACAAAAACTATGTGTAGTTCGAAGGTGTTGGGCTAGAGACCTACTGGAAACCTTTTCAGGCTTTTTAATGTAGGCCACTAGTTAGATTTGTAAAAAAAAATGCATATATATTTACAGTGAAGAGTAATTATTGAAGTAAGACGTACTAAGACCTAAAAATGATCAAATTTATATATCAAAGTGACTATATGACCGGCAGCCGGTCACAGTTTATCAAATACTAAATGGCCGGCAGTCTAGTGACTATAGTTGAATATAAAAACTTTTGTTTGCGTTAACTTTTACCGAGCTTGCCGTTAGCTCGTACGGCAAGGGCGCTGCGTGCGAAAAGTTAAACGCAGTCGGGGTCGGGATGTGTTTTGTCTGACTTAGCATTGTTTTTTCTTAAAATTTTTCAAACTTTTTTTCCGACTTTTCTAACTCTCAAAAGGTTAGGGGTTAGGGTTAGAAAAGGGTTTGGGGTTGGGGATAGGTTTATATTATAAAAATTCAACTTTAACAATAGTCACTAGACTGCCGGCCATTTAGTATTTGATAAACCGTGACCGGCTGCCGGTCATATAGTCACTTCGTTTATATATGATCAAATGCGCTTGAAGGTCCATACACGGCGCGATTCGACAACGCGACCAAAATAACTCGAAAATAAAAAAAATTATGTTTATATAACGCTTCTAAATATTTGGAAAATGTTAACTAGGATCAAAGTTATCGGTCAGTGAAAATCGAAAAATCACGTCGCGTTGTTGAATCGCGTCCGGTGTTAAGATTGAGTATTACGCTTACCAAATCCTATTAATTCAGGTTTATATTCAGGCATGATTTTTTTGAAAATTTGAGCGGCCATGTTGTTTGAGCCAGACCAGAACAAGCTTGGTTACATGAAGTAATTCCTGAAATCTGAATATGAAAATAAAAGAGACAAGCATCCAGTGTTGTAAACAGCCCAGTGGCTTAGACAACTTCGGTTTTTCCCGATGTTCGGCCGAAGAGCATATTTTTATAAATTATGAAATAATACTTCATATTTAATATTTTTGTTCATTTTAAAATGTTCAGCGGGCAAAAATTGTTGTGTTACAATCGCAGTTGGGTCGAACAATATGTGGAAAACAAAAATAAACAGATTAAAATTGGATTTAATGCCTATTTTTGAAATATTTGACACCGGATATAGTGCGCATGCCCATTGATACCTGTGACGTCACTTTCATACGGGACTTCGCCTTCACCAAAAGTTTTTGGCGGGAAAATTTGTAATGTTTGAAGAAGACAAGATGGCGCCGGTTTATTTCGTGCGATTCGAAGGGCATTTCTGTTCACAAAATACCCGCTTATTTTACCTTATATTAACGACTGGTTAGTTTTGGAAATTATAATTCAATGGACAGGGAAAACGTTTTTGTGATAAAGAGGATTATACGTGTAGTTTATATTGACTTTATATTGTGATGTTATTTGTTGTGAAAGACAGCCGGAAATTTCGCTACGTCGCTGTACTGGAAATTCGACCATGGATAAAGAGACAACGCTTGAATGAAAGAATTGCCTGTCTTAATGGTAAGTTTTTAAAGGGTTTTCAGTCCGTTTGTAAACAAAGCCTTTTAACATTCGACAACTATTTGTAGGTCTTTATATTTTCATGCTTCTACAGTATAATGTAATGTTCTCAATAAATATAATATATTTGAAATATAATAAATGAACAAGATACAACAATCGGGCTTTGCATGAACATAAAATTGAATAAAAACCCAATTAAAGTATTTATATCACGACAATTACCGACAACAAGCAAATATACATACTTTCAAATTGTATTCTTTTATAGTGATTTGTATGGCTGTTTATATGAGGAACCCAAAATATATAAATGAATTGATGAAAATAATTTATAGCTAGTTTCTGTTCGTAAGTTCGTGCTGTAGTACTAAATTGAAATTCTAATAAACATTGTAGACTCATATAAATATACACACATACACCTATACATATACTGGAAGTAAACAATTTTTCACAATTTTAATAACTCAGTAATAATACAAATAACTATAGGAATACAATGAAAGTTCAGTATTTGCTTGTTCTCGGGATATTTGTGAGCTTGTTGTCGGTACGTAATTGTCTGGTTGTTGTCAGCTGTTGATGGTTGTTGTAGGTAATGTATCGATCAATTCGAAACTTCACCATCCCCCCCCCCCGGGCATACCCCGGGAATTTGACTTCAAGTCTTCTCCAGGGAGTAAGGAATTTGACGTTCTACGTCTTCCATGTGGTGGGGCATTAGATAACGGGGTGGGGAATTTGAACCGGAAGTTTTAAAATTTTGCCCGTTTTCGCGTGCTTCCTGCATGCACAGAAAATACTTCGCATTGGTAGCAAATACAGTTTTCTCAGATTTTGTGGGAAACAGCCTCAATTTTGTGAAAAACTGGCTAAAAGAAACGGGCATGGAAAATCTATGTGCTTCATTTGAAGGTATGTACTACATAATTGTGTAAAACTGTTAAATTTCCACAAGGTATCCAAACTTTTTACGTGAATTTCGCTATCTTGTCCAAAAACATTTCCGTATATTTTGAACTTTTTGTATTTACTGTTTCATAATTTTCATATGAAGGTGGGGCATTTGTACGCTTAATTTCTTGTTACAGTGGGGCATTTGAAGACATTTTTTGCACAGGGGGTGGAGAATTTGATCAGTCAAAATTCAAAAAGTTCAAATTCCCGGGGTCGGCCCGGGGGGGGAATGGCGAAGTTTCGAATTGATCGATACATAATAGCCGGTTCCCCTTACTGCGTATTCTGAATACAACTACCAGCATGCTTTTCGGACTTGTTATTGCATAATGAAGAAAATACCTGCAAAGTATCATGGTTGTTGTGTTCAGAATACGTAATAAGGGGAACCGGTAATTAGTATGTCTGCTTCTGTGTATGTTACATAGGGGCAGGGGTAAAAACCTTACCTTACAAGGATATAGGGGTGAACAAGTTACGTTACGCATAGAAGCAGGGGTATAAACCTTATCTTACACTGATATAGGGGTGAACGCCTTATGTTACACATAGGGGCAGGGGTATAAACATT